AATTTTGAAAACAAAAGCTGGACATAGGCACATGTGCATCAGATTTGCTTGGTAACATCAGTCTGGGAAAACTATATAACATACTGCACAAGAAAAAGCCCAGAGAGAGGCATTTTGCTAGAGTGTGGACTTGTTCCTGCACTCAAGTGAAAGGGAGCCTGTCTGCCTTTGATTCCCTAAACTATTAATAACTGCACAACTATAGACTGGCAAAGACATGACAGATATATCCTGGCCTAAACCAGAAGAGGCAGAGGCAGGACAGGCTAGAGTTTTGTTAACAGTATGCCCAAAGTGAATCAAGCAGGTGTCACTTTACAGTAATTCCCTGTGTACACATTAGGAGCCTTCTTAAATGACTGATTCCTGGGTCTCAGTCCAAAGTTACTATAGACTCTCTGAGACCCAGGAATTTTCATATTTTCCAAACTTCCTCAGGTTGTTTCTCAATCCTTAGTCAAAACTGAGAATGACTGACTGCTTCGAAATAAAGGAGATGTCTTTAAGAAATTTACAACCAAGACAAATAATTGCAGCAAAATATCAAAAGTGTTATGGAGGGCTGGCGAGATGGCTCAGTGGGTAAACGTACTTGCTGCCAAGTCTGAACACCTGAATTCGGTTACCAGCATCTACATGGTAAAAAGAGAGAATCAAATTCTGCAAAGCTGTCCACTGACCGCCACACATGACCCATATACACATAACATTAGAAAAAGGGAGGTTATGAGAGAGGCAAAGTGTTACAAGGACAGAAAGAAAAGAAACATTTTTCAAAGAATCAATGGCATTTTACAGTGAAATTAAGAGGCAGTTAACAAGGTCAAAAGAGACTGAGGACATTCTGAGTAGAAGGAAATACGTCAACAGCATTAAGGGAATCAGAGCAGCTGTGGAACACAATTACCATGTACAATTTTTAGGCAGAAAAAAAAATTGCATTTTGGGCTGGGCATGGTGGCACACACCTTTAATCCCAGCACTTGGGAGGCAGAGGCAGGAGGATTTCTGTGAGATCGAGGCCAGTCTGGTCTACATAGTGAGTTTCAGACCAGCTTGGGGGAGGGGGTATAAAATATTCCTTTCTTGAAAGTTGGGAAATGGTATACACTGTACAGCCAGAGCAATACCGACCCTAGAGCTTATCTCCAGTCCTGCTGCACCCTATCCTCACCCCCATTTCCACCCAACATTTTTCTCTCCACACTCCATGTGGGAGTCTCTATAACACAACTTGGATGGTGAAGACCACCCATGGAATCAGCTATTCCATCTGTGGCTCTTGAAGTCCTGACATTGCAGTGCTTCCTCCAAAGGATGAAAAACTTAGGAGAATGGGGACTGGTAATGGTGGATCTATGGATCCCTAATATTTTGTGTTGTTATAAAATCATTGCCCCATCCAATCACACCACTTATCTAGGGAATGGCAGGCAGAGGGAAAGCAAGTCATCCTTTACTTTTTACAGAAAGTGTCCCCCTGCAAATGCAGATCCCTGCTGCTCTATACTGAATCCCAGAGCCCCATTGGCAAGCTTTCTGGCATAATCTCCCAGAACAGCTGGGCTGTGATTGTACTGTCAGTCATTAAATGCCCGTGTTCACTGTAACACAGCATTTAATCAAGAGGCACTCCAAAAAACTATGAGATAGACAGGGAGGGGTGAGGAAACAAGGGAGGAAGGAGGGGGAGGGAAGGCAGCTTACATTCTTGCTACACTAAACCAAAGGGACTTGTGCAGATGACATCCTTCCATCCTTCCAGACAGGCTACAAGACACTGACCGTGGCCAAGGTAACCAGCTTCACCCCCCGCCCCCACACACACCCTTTTATTGCTCAGGAGATATATTTGCACCTGGTATCTTTTATAAGAGGGTCTCTTGACCCATTGTCCTTACTGGCCGCACACTAAAGTGTTTTTCAGTTAATGTGCATTGACGCAAGGATGACTGGAATATTGGTACCTGTGTACTTCCACTCAGTCTCTTTTCAAGAGACACCTTGGGAAAGGGAACTGTCAGTGTATGCAAAGATAGAGCTTTTCTTATGGCTATATCCAGGATCCTTTTAAGGAGACTATTGAAAATGAGATTTGGTTCTTCCAATTCAAGGAGTATCCGAATCAGCTATAGAGAAAAGGCGTATGACAAAAGATGTGGCATGATGGGTGTTGTGGTAATTCTTGAGAATGCTCCCGAGTGGCATATTCTTTCAACTATCAAGAAGGGAATTCTTGGGGCTGGGGAGATAGCTCAATTGGTAGAATGCTTGCCTAGAAATGCACAAAGCCCTGGGTTCAGTCCCCAATATAAACTCAGCATAGTGGCATATGCCTGTAATCATAGCACTTGGGAGATGGAGGCAGGAGGATCAGAAGTTCAAGATCAACCTCAAGATGTATAGCCATAGACAATGTAAGGCCAACCCATACTATGAGTCCCTGTCTCCATCAAAGAGAGGAAGGAGAAAGAGGGGAGGAAGAGGGGGGATAGAAAAGGGGAAAGAGGAGGGGGAAGAGGAGGGGGAATAGAAGGAAGAGGATAAGAAGAGGATTTTGAGTGGGGTGTCCTCAAGCCTATCCTTGGTGGACAGTCTTTCTAGAAAGAGTCTCTAGAAAGAACTAGTTCAAGTTCTTTATCCTTTGTTTCTCAAATCAACTCTTCCTTAATGTGTCATCTTAGTTGGTGTCACAAGGTGTGTGTACTTTAGTGTAGAGTTCATTTTTTTTTCATTTCTGAATAACCTGGAGAAAAGTTTATAAACACGTGTAAGTTGAAATGGATTAAATGTGGAGTCAAGATCAAAACCAACTAAGATTGAAAACAATTGTTAAAATTGAACCCTGAGGGGCTGGAGAGATGGCTCAGCAGCTAAGAACACTGGTTGTTCTTTCAAAAGACCCGGGTTCATATCCCAGCACCCACATGACAGCTAACAACTCCAGTCCTAGGCATCCGACAGCCTCTTCTGACCTCCACAGGCATTGCAGGACACAGGTGCACTTACCTACATGCAGGCAATACACGCATACACATAAAATAAAGATAATAAATAAAAAAATTTTTTTAAGTTTAAAAATATTTGAACCCTGACATCAGAAGAGATTTGGGATCTAAATCTTTAGTTGGGTCTTTGGACAGAATGATGGGTGAAGATGTGCTACTTGGACGTTTATTTCCTATTCAAACAATTGATCATTAGAAAGGTCGCCCACCACAGAGATAATTGCACATCCGAATCTAATATAGTATTCACCACAGTGAAGCGATTGAACGAGCCTAGCTGACTAACTAGAGATGAGTAAAGAAAATGAGGTTCATATACGCAATGGAATTTTACTCCGTTGTGAACAAAAATGAGGGGATGACATTTGCAGGAAAAATGGATGGAAATGGAAAATGATGTTAAGTGAAAGGAGCTAAACCCAGAAGGAAAAATACCCCATGCCTTCCCTCATACGCAGATCCTACATTCTAAGTTTATGTACGGATACATATGTCGGGGACTCTCGGTCATGAAACAAGAAAATGGATCATGGGGGGGGGTGGATTTCAATGGAAGAAGGGAAAACACAGGTGATAGAATACATGTACTGTAAAAACTGAAGAGGGACTGTCGGAGAGAGGAAAGGACCAAGCACAACGGCAGTGGGACAGGGAAGAGGATCAAGAGCAAAGTATTATAAAAATGTCACAGTGAAACCAACTGCCTTGAATGATAATTTAAAAAAAAATAATGATGATAATAAAAGCCTGATGTGGAGGCAGAAGCAGGCAGATCTCTGTGAGATGAAGGTCAGCCAGGTCTACATAGCCAGTTCTAGGTCAATTGGGGCTACAGGGAGACCCTGTCTCAAAAAACAAACTCATAAAATATTAGAGAGGGAAGCTCATATTAATAGAACAAAGAAGCCAATAGTTTGGGAACTAAAAAGAAGAAAATATCCTTTCTGAATGGAAAATCATGTGACAATAGAATCCGGAATATAAGATCTCTCCTACTCCCATATTATGTTTGATTGACTGACTGACTGACTGACTGACTGACTGACTGACTGATGATTTTGTCCTCATTCAAGGTCACCCAGAGTCTTGCAAAGACTAACATTTCTTTGTGGAGTTAATTTGCTGAGTACCTTTTTTAAAAAAAAATCACATTAGTGTGCTGGCACACGCCTTTAATCCCAGCACTCAGGAGGCAGTGGCAGGCAGAGCTCTGTGAGTTCAAGGCCAGCCTGGTCTCCATAGCGAATCCAGGCCAGCTGGGGCTACAGGGAGACCCTGTCTCAAAAAGACCAGAAAAAAAAATCACATTAGGAAATTACTTTGCGGAAGTCATCTATTCCTATGTTTTGAAATGAACGCATGCTTCTTCCTGCCCCAAATAACATGCACTTTGTGTGTGGTATGCACTGCTTTCATCTCTGGAAATTTTAAAGGTTCTAAAGGGTCATGGTCTTAAGCTGAAGTCTTCTGCTAAGCTGGGGGTGGACACACAGATTTGTGACTTATTTGGCTCTGGTATTATTTACATCTCTTAAGCTAAGCAGATTTAGGTCTGATTAATTCTGATATGAGAGATCCCCCGCAAGCTCAAGATGGTTTCCTTCAAGAACCATCTGGCAGGTTAGCACAAGCTTCTCTTGTTCTCCAGGTATTAAGTGAACTTCACACAGCACTCAAGGCTGCTCACAATTATTTTTCTAAATCAAATCAATCCAAACCACTACTCAGCAAGGTTGATAACTTTAACGCTGGTCTTGTTTTGTTTTGTTTTGTTTTGTTTTGGAGACAGTATCTCATGTAGCCCAGGTTGGCTTCAAAACCGCTAAGTAGCTGAGGGTGACCTTGAATTCCTGATTTTCCTGACCTTGAATTTCCTGATTTGCCTTTACTTTTCAAGTTCTGGGACCACAGTGTATACCACTGTACCCAGTTTATGCAATGCTGAGGATCAAACCCAGGACTTCATGCATACAAGGCAAGCACTCTATCCCAGCTGAGCTAGATCCCACTGCCATCTTTTATCCTGAAGGTTTCAGTTTCCATCTGCTGACCTGGGGTGATCCAGTTAAACATTCAGAAGTAAGGCATGTTTCCCTCATTTCAGAGATCAATAGTCTACAGCACAGGAGAAGAGCATGCATAACTCACTTTGGGACAATAACAACTAGCTCAGAATGTCAGTGCTCTATCTTTGAAGACAAAACCAAAAATAATTACTATGAAGAGGAATGTGAGTGCTTCCATTTTAAGGTTCTGAGGACTGAAGCCAGGGTCTTGTGCATGCTAGGACAGCACTCTACCAGGGAGCTACAGCCTCAGCCCATTGTTTTTGTAAACCATATAGATTACAGCCTCCAAGGTCTAATCCCATTCTGACAGAGGTTGTTGCTTACCAAACATCAACTCAGACAGACCTCAATTTGCCATTTAGTACTGTGATGTACGAAACACTGTGCTAGGTGCTGTGAGGAAGAATAAAATGAAAACATCATGTTGTGGGGTGTGATGGTACACACCTTTAGTCTCAGCACTCGGGAGGCTTTGTCCATCCAAGGGCACCAGCTGGCGCTGCAGCAGAGAACACACACACTATAGGAGGGATCCCGAGGGGACCCTCCCTCAAGGTGCGCATGCACACATTCCCTAGGCCTGCACACACGATGCTCACCTTCCAAAGCAGAGATGGATTTTCCCCTCTCACGTCCAGTTCACTCTGACTTCAGGATCCTTCATGATAAAAATCACCCATCTGGTATCACCTTCTGTGAACCATCTATCCTGTCCAGTGTCCAGCCCCACCCCATCCCCGCATCACTCTGCCTGTGCAAATCACTTTGAAGCTTGTTTTCTGGAAGGGCCACACAGTCCGATTTAAATGACCACCATCACGGCAGTGCTTGCTCCCTGCCACTTGACAGCACAGCTTCCACCGGGCTGGGCTCCTGGAGAAAAGACCCAAGAACTTTGCCCATCAGTGTAGAAGGGAAATGTATCTACACAGTGAATGGGGCACTGACAGCAGGTGCTCCAGCTCCCATCTCCTCCACTTGTGCTTGTGTGTTACAGATGGAACTCCCGAAGGGCTGCTCTGGCCAACGGACCTTCTTTTCTGCCATCCTCAGCATGCTATCACTCGGCCTCTCCACACCATCTCTGCTCAGCAGTGAATGGTTTGTGGGCACACAGAAGGTGCCCAAGCCCCTGTGCGATGGGCAAGGTCTGGCAGCCAAGTGCTTTGACATGCCGATGTCCTTGGATGGGGATGTCACCAACACATCAGTCAAGGAGGTGGTACAATACACCTGGGAGACTGGAGATGACAGCGTCTCCTTCCTTACCTTCCACAGTGGCATGTGGCTGTCCTGTGAGCAAACCATGGAAGACCAAGGTAAGGCCTTCACATAAGCAGCCCAGCATGATCAGATTTTTAAGTTACATTTTTATTAGTGTGTGCGTGTGTGTGCGAGCATGCGCATGTACAAACGCACACACACAAGTGTATGGTGCACATGTGGAGATAAATAGGACAACCTGAAGGAATCAGTTCACTTCCATGTAAGTCCCAAGGATCAAATTCAAGGGGTCAGGCTTGGCAACAGGCACCTTTATTCACCTGCCCTTAAAAAAAAGTTTGGGGCTGTAGAGATGGCTCAGTGGTTAAGAGCAGTGGCTGCTCTTGCAGAGGACCCAGGTTTGGTTCCCAGCACCCACATGGCAGCCTACAACCATCAGTAACTCCAGTTCCAGGGGATCTCATGACCTCTTCTGGCCTCTGCGGACATTGTACCACACAGGTGCACTTACATACATGCAATCAAAACATACACATAAAATAAAAAATAAATCAAAAAATGATAAACTATTAATATTTGTATTGATTGATTTATTAACTGATTGATTGTTTTTTGAGACAGTATCTCACTCTGTAGCCCAGGCTATCCTAGAAATCACTATGCTCCTGGCTGACCTGGAACTTGTAGCAATCCTCCTGCTTCAGCTTCTTTAAGTATTTGTACTACAGATACGAGATACCACACCAGGCTGGGACAGGAAATGTTGGGTTTTTAGACAGGTAAAGAAACTCTGATTAGGCCAGAAAAGAGCCGGGCAGCCACGGGAAGGTCCACACATCCCTGAACCAAATGCGCCTCACGCCCAAACCCTACTTTATATTAGCCTCTTTCCATGGCCCCTTTTAACAACATCAAAAGTCCCTGTGGCTCCTCAGCTCCTCCAGCTTTTACAGACCTGCAGGTTTAACCCAGCATTAACCTTAAGGCTTTTAGGCCTCTCACAGAATAGAGCTATAGATGCTGTTCGGAAGCAAAACAAGAAAAGATTACAGAAACAACCCTGGTTCTCCCCAACTGGAACCATATATAAATAACCTCATATAAATAACCTCATGTCTGTGGGCCTCCATTTTCCCATTTGTGAGATGAAAAGGATCATGGTAGATATCTCTAAAGCCTATTCCTTACTAAATAAGGGTTACTGTTACAACTTAAAAGGCAAAGGAGAACTGGGGCAATTGAACTGAGTTCAATACTGGCTTGAGCTGAGTTCAAGAACATCCTGAACTACCCAGTGAGACCCTATCTCAAAAAAACCGAGGATTGGAGATGTAGTACAGTGACTGCGTTGCCTGCTTAGCATGTACAAGGCCCTGTGTTGGATTCCCAGCACTGCAAAACAGATAGATAGATAATAGATGATAGATAGATAGATAGATAGATAGATAGATAGATAGATAGATAGATAATAGATAGATGATAGATAGATGATGGATGATGGATGGATGGAGATAGATGATTGATAGATAGATAGATAGATAGATAGATAGATAGATAG